ACATGATTCAATTTGTAAAATTCAAAATAGGTAAAACTATATATACACACACAAATACACACATATAGGAATATATATATGAGTTATATATCCACATATACATTCATATATAAGATGTGCACATATGTAGTAAAACAATAAGAAGAAGTAAGGACATGATTATCAAAAAGAGAGAATAGTAATTATTCCTGAAGGAGAGGGAAGGGGACATAATTAGGAAAGTAAATTACATGAAGCTCCCAAATTCCTATAATGTTTTACTTCTTAGTCTGAGGGCCAAGGACACAGTAGTTCCCTTGCTCAATATTTAAATTGAGCAGATACATTTCATATATTTTATGAATAGTATCTGTTTCAGTAAGATACATGAAAGAAAAGTGAATTGATGAGGTATAGTCATTGATGCCTCAAAGATTTTGGGCCATGTCACAGTGTGATTCTTTGTATAACTGTTAATCCTTTCTCATGCTGCTAATAAAGATATACTCGAGACTGGGTACTTTCTAAAAGAAAGAGGTTTAATGGACTCCCAGTTCCACATGGCTGGGGAGGCCTCACAATCATGGTGGAGGACAAAGGCAGAACAAAGGGACGTCTTACGTGATGGCAGGCAAGAGAGCTTGTGCAGGAGAACTCCCATTTATGAAACCATCATATCTTATGAGACTTATTCACTATCATGAAAACAGTATGGGGGAAACTGCCCCACGATTCAATTCTCTCCATCTGGCCCCACCATTGACACATGGGGGTTATTACAGTTCAAGGTGAAATTTGGGTGAGGACACAGCCAAACCATATCAATAACCTACTGCAAAGTACAGCCGACTCCAAGCCTGGCAGTAGATTCATTCTTGAATGCTTTACACTAGTGACTGTAGTTGTGACAATTTTATTTCCAGATAGCCATTACTGCAATTCTTGTCCACTACGTTACTGTTGCAACAACAAAAGCTGCTTTAGAATGTGACAGCCATTGTTGACAACAGGTCTAGGAGGTAGGGCAGGAGTGGGATGCTTCCCTCGGATGTTCCAGGGGAGCATGGAGTACATCGTTGGCACTTTGTTTTGAGAGGCAACTAATGCCTTTTATTTTGTAAATGAATCGACATTAGGTGGAAGATGACCTGCCTTGAGTGTGCTGGCATAGGTAGCAGCAGTAAGGGTAGCATTCCAAGGAGCCTGTAAAATAAGCAAGCTAAGGTGACAGAAGACGAGTTCTCAGAGCCAGGGAAGCAGCCTGGGCCCAGGAGATGGCTCCAGGAGCAATTTAAATGATGAAGTGATAGGCATTCAATACAGAGGAAACACAGAGGACAGTGCAATCAATCACTGCCAAGCTTATCTTCTGACAAGGAGTAGGACTCCAGCTTCCAGATGTAACATTAAAACGTAATGTTTCCACTGGGGTTTAGCATGGCAGGTTTCCCTGAAGCTTCAGTTTCACTCGGTTAACTAATTATGAGAAAATGTGACATCGGTATTTACTTTTTCTACAGGGACAAATCATTGCCAGCAGGAGGAAGAAGTTGTTATTTTTGTTCTGCTTTGTTTTGTCATTAAAAAGAAATTACTTACACAGCAGTAAATATACTCTTGTTGGGGGGGAAGAATTATCTCCATAGTTCTATCCATTCAATCATGTCTTTGGTTTTCCAGGGACATAGAGGATAAAAGAGAGTTAAGAGCTTGGTAATCACACTGCCACGTGTGTACCTATGCAACAATTTTGCATGTTCTTCACATGTACCCCAAAACCTAAAATGCAATAAAATAAATAAATGGGGGGGGAAAAAGAGCTTGGTTGTTAGAATTGGGTCTGAAAATGAACTCTCTCACCTACTAGCTATCTGACCTTAAGCAAGTTATTTAAGCCATCTGAGAGTGCTTTTGCAACTGTGAAACTGGGAGCGATGCATCTACTACAGAGTTATTCGTGAAAGATGAAAGGACATAATGCAGTTGAGGCACTTGAGCACAGGGCTTCTGCATAATAAGCACTCAATACAATTTAGCCTTTATTCTTAGTGACCCTGATGCGCTATTATATAAATATAGAAACAGTTTATGTGTCGTTTAGACCTTGTGTTGCCAATTCTATATGACCACACATCTAATCATCAACTGAGCCTATACTCTGGCACTGTAAGCTAAATGGTGTATTAAACATTTTATTCCTCCTCACCCTGATGTAATGAAAGGTTTCCAGAGAAAATTTAATGATAATGAAAGAAACAGTTATTCTCTCCCATCTGCTTTTAACTTTTCAAGGGCGGATCATAATCCCAAGCAAATATCACAGATAAACTTGTGCTTCCTCTTCTACTGTCTGGATGCTAGAGAAATACTATGTTTGGGGTGCTTTTAACAAATTAGAAAGTGATTTTACAAATGACTTCTCAATTGAACTTGCTACAATCCCATGAGGTAAGCAGTTTATGATTAGCCCCATTTTACAGATAAGGAAAACAAAACAAACAAGATAAGCTAAATGACAAAGCCACTGTATTTAAGCACTCTATGAAAGAGTACCATGGGAATGAAAAATGCCAGGATCACTGGACAATGAAAAAATAGACTTTTCCAAGAATAAATTCTTGCCTTAGAGAGAGCCAAAGTGACTAGTTATTACAGAGCAAGGACTATTTGTGGAAAGCAAACAAAAAAGAAAATCAAGAGACATAGGGTTTTATATTCTGATTTCACAATCCATTTGTCCAATGTGCCTTAAATTTTCTACCAATAAATTTGAGGAAAAAAAATTGCTACTTCTCACCTCTCTTACAAGTGTATTTCAATGCCATTACTGTATACAAATAATATGTAAGATTGATACTATGGCATTCAAGAGGTTTTATACTAGCCATATACATGGGAACTCTTAAAAATGTATAAACAGAAGAAAATATATTTTGAGTGGTAGATAGAAAATCCTGGCAATAAAGAAAAAAGATATTTTTTTCAAGAATATAAGGTCTAGAAAATTATGAACAATTAGATAAGATAGATAAATCATCACTATAATTTTGCATTATGTACTTGAACTATTTTTGGAAGTTACAGAAACAAACTATGAGAGGTATGAACATGTAATAAATTTTTTGAAGCCATGAAATTATAATATCCCACTAATTTCGATAATGTTTCTTCAACTAATCACATATAAGGTTCTCAAAATAATCAATTCTGAAGTGCTCTTAACACCAAGCAAGTCTTTCTGGCAGTAGTGATCTTTTAGGACTTCAAAGGACCCTGACATATGCCCCCTGTGATTGCATAACCAATTAAGAAGTTCTAGTGGACTATAACTTGTCATTTACAAGTCTCCCTCATCCACCATTTTTGTTTGAATGGGGGATAAATTATTTAGATAGGAAGGCAAAGACAATCAAAAGTCATTAAGGGGAATCCGAGTTCAAAATAAAAACCAAGCACAAGCTTCTAGTTGATAATGTGAACATGGAAGTGCCAAGGGCCTATATAAATGTGCAAACACCTAGTCATACCAACAGCAATCAGCAAAATAGTACATAAGAGCAGGTTACCATTAGGTGGTCGATTGACTAATTCTGATGCAATGGGCCTGAACATAATTTTCCCTATGATTCTTCATAGAAAATAATACAACTTCATACCAGTATTGAGTCAGATTTCACAATGTGGCGGTAGAAGAGGCCTGCCTAAAACTCCTCCCTTTTCTGAACTCATTCATTTAATAAACACTTTTTCATTGTTTGCTATTTGTTGGAAACTATATCAAAGCACTCATAGTCTATTAGGGAAAACAGGTAAATAAAGCATGAAATTTGCACATTAAACCCTAGAATGTAAAAAATACTTGGCACAATGATAAGCGGATCAGCAAGCCCTCACAGAGGATGAGGTGAGGTGCATAGAAACTGTTTATATGGCAAAAGAGAGAAAGATATGCTCTCTCTTATATGTCAGAGAGAACAGTATGAATAAAAGCAGGGAGGTGCGATAAAGATGGTGAGCTCCAGAAATTAGATGTAGAATTAGAGGTAGTGCCACACAGCTGGAATATAGATCCTGGGTAGGAGAAGGAAAAAGATGGTAAATGAAACTATAAGCAGTGGAGGAAGACAAAGACTCCATCATTTAGTGCTTACTAGTCCATGTTAAAATACAATATTGGAAAGCTGAACACAATTATTGGTCTGCTGGAAAGATTTCATTCCAGAGGCAATAGGGGTAGATTTTTACTATAGAATAATCATTTTGGTGCTAGCTGGGTACTCACTGAACTAGGGAAAAGAAAATCTAGAGGTATGGATACCAATTATGGGAGAATTTCAAAAGTCCAAGGAAGATACAAAGGGGTCCCAAACCAAAGTTTCATATAGCATATTTATAAAACATAATTATGTATAATAACTGACTCATTGTAGCCACTTAATAAACATTTTTGTGACTGACTGGATAAATGAACAATTCCAAAGGTGATATGGAACAAAATTAGGTATTTTCTCTTTTGAGTGAAATAGCTATCTCTTAAAATGCAAACGACTCATCTCAACTAGGTAACAACAAATAGCACTTACTGCTTGACTTCCTTTCAGACTTAGAATGCTCCTTGCAAATGAGTGATTGGAACATGACGCCAATGTCCAATCTGGAATGGACGGTAAGGAATATCTACCATAAACTCCCATTTTAAAGACAAAAATCTGAGTCATAAAAGTTATAGGACTGGCCCAAAACCACAAAATGTTTCTGCTGATGGGACTGAAATCAGGCAGAATAAATTAAGGCTTTACAATATTTGTCAACCAAACTAGTTGGAAGAGATTTGAAAGGTATCGAATTCAGCTAGGGTGATTTAAGTTTTTAAAACTGTTTGACATTTCATGTTCAAAAACCACAAAGCAACATCTTAAGAGACATTTTCTTAAACAATTATTTGCTCTGACAATGAACTGCAAAGACCAGGGATCAAGTTTTAATTCTGATTTGGTATAAATCAGAAAAATGATTCTTACCATAATCTTCTGAAGAGACTGGTGACCTAAAAGGAAACAATAAGCATGATCAATATTTTATATGATAATTATGACAATCATCAAGAATAATTTCAAAGTAATTAAACCCTCAAATTCAATTAAATGGAAACTCAATATAGCAGACAGTGTAATTAATGTGTTGATTGCAATGGTATATTTCAATCCACAGCCCCCAACCTTTACCTGGATTGGTTGGATGTTACAGGTTACTAAAATGTCAGTCTATGCATGGTGCCCTAGGGCTGCAAAAACTTAGCTAAGTCTAGATTTACCACACAAAAAAGAGAACTCATAGAAATGTAATATAGATGAAATCCTCTGACGTGTGGTGCCCAAGAACAGGCATCCAGTGTAAATGCCAGGGATGTTAAAAAAAAAAAAAAAAAAGCACTAGCTAGATTGGGTATCTGTCAATACAAAGAGATCTACTTGAACGGTATAAATTGAGTCGGAGATAAAAGGAATAGCATGCATCCTTATCATTACTGGTTTTTGTTTCCACTCTTCATGGAATTTAACGTTTGAGTGAGCTGACCCTCTAATTGCAGCCCTATGTCTCAGAACCTGGAAGAAACAGGATGAGGCAAGAAGGCAACCACTGGGGTTCCACAGAACTTTTGGAAATCAACAACTTCTGCAAACTATATGTGAGTTCTACTCTAATTATGGTAATCAGATCTCAAATGAAAAATCATATCAACCCTAAAAGGCTTGCTTCCTCTCAGTTGACTACTAATGGCAATACTTTGAGCAATGTAGGCCTAAGCTTGGTGATGAATTCACCTCCAGCTTGAAGACTACAACTTTGACTCACACTTATTCTTTTCTGGGGAGAAAGAGAGACATATGATATTATACTCAGAGTTGTTGAAATTATGAAGGGAAAGGCAAGATATAACATACTTCCCCTATTTTGAAGGAGTCTTCTTCTCTGAATGATTGGCTCAATGAAGTCCATAGCAGAGAAATGACCAAAGATAAACTCAGGAGTTTGGCAATAAAGCTGCTAATTATTAGAACTAATATTTATGAGACATGAAGATAAATGTCAGGTCAACAATCATTATTCAGTCAATGCACAAATGGTTGAAGCTAATTTTTAGCTATTTTGGGATGCTTGATATGATTTTATTTACTGGTTAGTAATATTATTGTTTATTATGTGAGTGAACAGTAAAGTATAAAGACACAGTGGTAATGGAGAAAAAGCCAACCTCAATGAGTGGCAAAGTATCAATTTTATTTCAACTGAGCAAGCCTCTTAAAGTAGACTTTCGCATGAAAACCACAGAATCCCAAGATTTGGTGGAAAGGAAATTAGCTTCTGGGAGATTAACATGGGTAGTGGTGAGCGGAAACTACCACAATCCCTAAGTCAACGCTGCTCAAAAAACGCCACTTGGCCTCCCTGGGTAGGGCTGATTTATCCTCCTATTGGATTCCCTTCTTTTGTATTATCCACACACAGGCCTTTCTCACTGGGTTGGAACCCTCGTGAAACTAAGACTATATCTTGTTTAGAACAAGTGAGCCCTTAGTTAAAATTTGTTGAGTTGAATTAACCTCAGTCCCATCACGCTATTATTCAAACTGACACATTCTGGAGCTTCCCAAAAAGTCATCATGTTACTGTTAAACCATCTTTAAGGCAAGTTTGCCTACTCCTAGGCCAGCTGCAAGGAAAAGTCCTAGAGAATGTGCTTGAAGTTCTAATTGGTTATAATGTGGACATTCTCAGAGCCAAAGGACATCAAAAGTACCCAGAAGCAGAGACACCCATACTCTCCTTCAATAATTAGGAAAAACAAAGGAGGGAGGCAAGTATTGAATGAGAGGTGAAACGAAATTAGAAGCTGAATCTAAAAAACACATATATTTTAAAGAAGATGAGCTAATTCCTTCAGCTGCTCAGGTTATAAGAGTCAGCCACAAGGAAGTATCTTTCCTCCTGGTGTTTGCCAATGAGAAGTAAGTAAAAATGTGTCTTGGATTGTTTGCAATTAATTTGTCACAAAGCAAAATTCATGCCAAAGGACAACTGAATGTCTCAGGTGGAGAGCTTGTGAAGCAGGGTCTTTGCTGCCTTTCTGCAAAAGCAAAGCATTGATATTAAATTTGAAAAATTCCAGATGGCTCCGTTAGAGTCCCAAGGGGATGAATTCTGCAGTATGTCCAGGCAGTGGATAAAAAATATCAATTTCAGAGTGTTTTGTGAAAATTAGTCATGTTGAGTTTCCACGTTTAATGTCTCCCATATGCCTGGCTTTGTGGAATTTTAAGACATATGGAGTATTTCCATCTTCACTCAGTATTTCACCTTTCACTGAAACAAGTTACTGCATTGTACTACTGAGATGTGCACATCATCCATTATCGCTGGAAATGGGCATAAAGATTTCACTCATGGGTGGATCACCTGAGGTCAGGAGTTCAACACCACCCTGGCCAACATGGTGAAACTCTATCTCTACTGAAAATACAAAAATTAGCTGGGCTTGGTGGCAGGCGCCTGTAATCCCAGCTACTTGGGAGGCTGAGGCAGGAGAATCGCTTGAACCTGGAAGGCAGGGGTTACAGTGAGCTAAGGTCATGCCACTGCATTCCAGCCTGGGTAACAAGAGTAAAACTCTGTCTCAAAAAAAGAAAGAAAGAAAAAAGTTAGCTCAGAAAAGAAGAAATATTCTGAAATCAGCAATATAAGTAGTTATTTTAACAACAGAGGTTGAATCCCAGGAACAGATAATCTTAAACCTGACAATGAGGCATGCAGTGCAGGAAGGCTCCCTGGTTATTCTTTTCACCACACCTGAAAGACATGTGGTTTTATCCCAGACTGCTTATTTTTCCTCCATGTATACTTTATCTTGGAGCAAGCCTCTGCCCTTACAATGTAAACTATTACCAGCATTCTTACAGCTCTCCTCTTCATTTCTTTTCTGATCATGAGTGCTTTAGCTACAGAATATTTTATATTTGTTTCTGCTTTTATTTATTTTGATACTTTTTACATTTTGTTCAAATGTAACAAAATAAAACAAAACAAAAATTCAAGCCATGCATTGAAAAATATTTCTCCTATTAAGCCTAAATGATTATTATTCAGGTTCGAATCTCTCCATTCATGTTGATTCAATTTATTACTTGAGACCCTGTTGTTACCAGGCCATGTGCCAAGTGATGGAGACACAAAGAACAATTTCAGGGAACTCATAATCTAGTGAAAAAGAAAAATATGTAAACAAATGATTGATTATAATGTAAAAAATATATAATGATCAAAATATACGTGAAGTTAAAGAGGTAGCACAGAGGACAGAGAGATTGAATCGGTATGAAAAGTGTGAAAGAAAGCTTTGAGAAGCAAGAATCATCTGAACTGGGCCTGAAGAATAAAGAGGAGTTTATTAGGTAAGTAAGAAAGGAGAAGAACTCCAGGCAGAACAGCAATAGGCAAGTGAAAAGGAGTACAGACGTGAAATTGCATAGAATCCTATCAGATATACAAGTAACTCGGTATTGCTAGAATGTAAAGGGGGAATAAGAGCAAGGACTTGAGAAGTAAGTGGCAAGGGCCATTTCATACAGGGCATGTGGGGCCCCTGTGAAGTGCTTGCAATTTACCTTCTAAGCTAAATGGAGCAAGGTTGCAAGGCAGAGAAGTCACACAGTTTGGGCAGGCAGTTTGAGAGTGAACCATGAAAGAACAAGAAGATAAATTAAAGGCAGAGGTCAAGTTAAAGACTATGACTGAAAAACTTCCATGTTAGTAACACAGAAAAAAATTTCTCTGCTCTTCAATCTTTTTGAAACCCATGGAAAATGACAGGGAAGATGAGAAACAGTAAAGGAAATACCCTCTTTGACTAAACTAGATATTTATAAGTCCAAACCATCATACATGAAGAAGAGCTACCAAGTACAGTAAAAATAGGGCTAAGCTTTAGGGAAACAGAGAATTTTTATTTTAGTCAGCTAAAGAGATATAAACTATTTTATGCACAAGGAAACCTATGTCAGAAAGCCTTCCACTTTAAGCAAGGGTGTCCTGCTAGTCAGAAGTAAAACCAAACCTAGAAGAGAGGGCTGCTAAGAAAAAGCTTGAAGATAACAGAGAGAAAGTCAAACTTAGAGCAGCACACCAAATCACTAAGCCCAATCATCCATCCAAACCAGAAGCTCCAAACAAACAAACAAACAAAAAAACAAAAAAAAACCAACTCACCCAATGCAAATAGTACAAGTAATAATGGAAAAAGAAAAAGCATGACATCTATGCACAAATGCCAGAGGAGAAAACAAAACATAGGCAAAGAACACACTAAAAAGATGATGGATGAAGCAGATAAAAATTATTAATAAATCTCCATGAAATTTAGAAATGGATGGAAGGAAGGAAGGGGGGAAGGGGACAAGGGGACAAGTGGGTAGGAGAGAATGGAGGAAGGGAAGGAAGGAGGGGTAAACAGAGTGTCTGTGAAATGTAAACTTAAGAAGAAAAATGATCAAGAAATAATTACAGCGAGGTGAAAAGAGCAAAAGTCTGTCCAGGGCCTTTGAACTAGTTGTTATTAAAGAAACTGTGGCTTTTTTCCATTGTGATACCATTGCACTGGAAAAAGAAGATTAAGAGAAGACAAATAATAATTAAAAATATATTAAGATATGAAACATTGATGAAACAAATTGAAAAAGATACAAATAAATGGAAAGACAGCTCATGCTCATGAATTAAAATAATTAATATTGTTAAAATGTTCATAATATTTTAAGCAATCCTGGAGACGTAATTCCTATGAAAATACCAAAGACATTCTTCACAGATTAGAAGAAACAGTCTTAAAATTTATATGAAACCACAAAAGACCCTGAATAGCCAAAGCAATCTAGAACAAAAAGAACAAAGCTGGAGGCATCACACTACCTAGCTTCAAAATATTTTACAAAGCTATAGTAACCAAATCAGCATGACACTGGCATAAAAACAGACAAATAGAACAATGGAACA